ATTACAGAAAAATTTAGTGAAAAAGGTCGACGAATGCGTGAAGCTTGTAAATATATTGATGACTACATATATAATATGATAAATAACTATAAATCAGAGCTTGAAATTGAGAAGCAAACAGTTAGCAATTTGTTAGCTTTGCTTATTAATGCTGTTGATGATAATGGTAATGACAGAGAATTGAGAGACGTTGTACTTAATCTTATTGTTGCTGGTAAGTTTATAAATAGTGAATGAAAAATGATGTGAATTCAATGATTAATCTTTTTTATACAATCGATTTTATTATTACAGTATTTAGGTCGTGATACTACCGCACAAGTAAGTTACAATAACTGGTTTGGAAAAGTATTATATTATTACTAAACTTAAATTAAACAGGCTTTATCTTGGATGATGTACTCGATCATGACAGACCAATCGGTTGAAGATTTATTGCTTCAAGAAATTAATACACTCCTTTCTCCAGAAATGACCGCTCCATTATATGATGATCATAAGTTATATAAATATACTTTGGCTACATTTTACGAAACTCTTCGACTATATCCTATTGTTCCATCAAATGGAAGGGTAATAATAATAAATTTGCTTATATTTTATAGAAATTATTATCGTTTTTTTTAATTATCATTCTTTTTCAATTATGAACCAAAGGTGTGCATTAAGGATAACGTTCTACCTAATAATACCCAGTATTTGCTGGTGAATATGTAGAATATAACCTTTTTATAATGGGAAGAGATGAAAAAATCTGGGGAGAAGATGCGAAACAGTTCAATCCCCAAAGGTTTTTAGACTCTGAGGATGGTTTAAGGCCAAATAAATTTAAGTTTGCCTCTTTTCATGCTGGACCTAGAACTTGGTTAGTATTATTTACAATAATACAGTGCATGATATTTTCTTGTTATCTGGCATGATCTGACGAATACACAGTTATTGGCAGGATGATAACAAAAGCACGTGGCCTTCGGCCACGTGCGTTGTTATTATTCTGTTAATCTGTATTCGTCACCATCATGCCGGATAACTAGTTTATTCGGCAGGTATGACGTATACACTTACGGAAAAAATTGATATTATGCCGCAAGTTTTATATTAAAATGATTTTAATATTAACCTGCGGCAATAATGTGAAATTTTTTTCCGTCAGTGTTTACATAGTACCTGCCGAATAAAATTTTATACATGGCAATTTTTAAATTTTTAATTTATTTTTAATAATCATAGCTTGGGTCAACAATTTGCAACTCTTGAAGTAATAATGCTTGTAGTAATGATGTTGAGAGAATTTAAGTTTGAATTAGTACCTGGACAAAAATTACCTCCAGAATTTGATGATTCTATTACATTGCCAAAAAAAAGAACGATGCATTATGTAAACTAAGAAATAAATGAATAATTCTAAATAAGTAAAATCAGGATTTTTCGGATTAAATAGGTAAAACCTTAAATTTTCCGTGTTACATGCATTACATGAATAACAAATCGAATTTCAAAAATTTGGGGGCAAATTTGCAGGAGAAACGGTTTAAGGGATAATCGATTAAATAATGGTCAAAATTATAATACAAGTATTTTTAATAGTAAAATTTGTGTGTCTTTAGATAATTTATTATTACCGTATTTACGCGAAATAACGCACATCTGCGCGTTATTTCGAGGAGATGCGCGTTATTTCGAGCACGCGCATGGGCGTTATTTCGAGGCAAAGGATACACCCCAATCACTGATGATAAATATCAAGGTGATTTATTAACATTAGTGTATGGGGTGTGTGTTATTTCGGGACGCACATGGGCGTTATTTTGAAACCAACTATGCTATTTTAAGGAAATGCGATTTTCAAAATAACGCCCATGTGCGTTATTTCGCGTAAATACGGTAAATGGTCCAGCTGACCATAATTATACGTAACCTAGAATTCCGAAAAATTTTCTGTTTCTTGTTTTGCGCGATGATGTCGCACAGCTACCTTTTTATTATTTCTGTATTTGGCTATGATAAAATCGCCTTAGTAATCTAAAGTTAAAGTGGTCACACAGATTTGATATCGATATAAATGGTAACATAATAATAATGATAATTGGCGGGAACCATGTAACTATAAAAATCTAGCCTAACCTAGAAAAGACATCTCAAATTTTATATCGGTATATTAAAATTTCAGCATAATCCACGTCATATTAAAAGATCTTTTCTAATATTTTCTTCTATTAGGTTGAAAAAAATATTGATTTCATTACATTACTTATAGCGAAAGCATTCCACTTAGCCATGCCAACAATGATTCAAATTCTACAAAAATTAAATATAACTACTTTTGATATCTTTATTCTATTTTTACTTTCATTCGCAAATTATATTATTTATCTTGTAATAAAGTATCCAGATCGTGCGATAGGAATAAACCCTAGGAAAGATCTCGTTGGGCCTAAGGGTGTTCCAATATTTGGAAACCTTTTCTCATTCTTAAAAAGAAAGACTTACATTCAATTCTCACAAGAGTTGGTAGATAAATATGGATCACTTTAGTATGTATTAACTTTTAAAATAAGTAATTATACTATTGATGAAAGATAACATTCACTTTGATAAAAAAAAAATTTTTTTAATAAAAATAGCACATTTACAATTTTGGGATTTGGCCGAGTCATTGTATCAAATGATCCACAAACAATAGAACATTTACTCAAAAGTGTGTATTCTAAATCAAAAAGTTAATTTGAGTAATTTTAATATTTATTAATTGCATGTTTTAAATTAAGCGAATTTTGAGGATTATGGAAAAAGTGATGCCTTTTACAAAATGGGTTATGATGTATTTGGAGATGGAATATTTGCGGTTGATGGGTTTGTATCTTAATGAAATTATTACTGTAGTTGAATATGTATTGCAAATTATTATAATGCTTATTAAAAATACAAATAAAGTTATAAGTGGAAATTTCAAAGAAGAATAATAAGCCAATTATTCATGGGGAGAAACTTTAGAAATTTGATTTATACATCAATAATGTTGTATGCACGATAGAAATTATTGAGCATGTAAATACCTAGCAAAATTTCTTAAATATGTATTGAACTAGT